TCATCAGAGACAAGGGAAGAATTGTTGTCAAGTGTTGCAAACAGCAATCCTTCTTAAGAATAACCTCACCCTGACTCTCAGACTACACAGGTCAGTAATCATGTTTAATATCAGACTACACAGGTCAGTAATCATGTTTAATATCAGACTACACAGGTCAGTAATCATGTTTAATATATGAGACCACAGTGGTCTTTGAATCTTGTAGCGTCCAAGTTGGATTTGGAGACCAGTAGAGGGCTCGTGTTCGACTTGACATGGCATCGTTGTTTTCTTTATCGAGTGAATATTATTTCCCTGAGACACTGATTTTCTTTCTTTCTCATTGCAGAGGAGACAAAGAGTCGTCGCTCTCGCGTGTCCATGGCGAAGTTCTCTAGTTTTGGCAAGAAAGGTACACTGAATGAATTCTCTGATTCAACTTCTCCATGCTTGCTGCTCAAGTAGAGCTTCCAGTCTGAGCTGGATATATAGGCATCAGGATACTGGTAATATATATATATATATATTTTTTTCTTTTTCGTAGTTCATGACACAGCCAGTGACAAGAAAAGCAGTGAAGGTGAGCTTCATTTCCCTGTAGTACTGTGTTTGTTCAAGCCTGAGAAACGATGAGTTCAGTATCGTTAAGGGGCCTGGGTATGAACGGTGTAGAGAAACAGATGGCAGCCAGAGGCGGAGTTTTCTTTTCTCTGGCGCTTGCTTCAGATTCTTTCCCTAAATCGTTCCGCTTAAACATTTTTAAATAGGAGCCTTGCTGTTGATTGTTTGATGTCAAAGCATATCAGAAGTAGCTGCTTTGTACTACTGGTAGCCGTCAGCGCCTCTAAATTGTCTTTGCTTAAACTTTCTCTTGTGATATCTAGGAGAAAAATATCACTCAGTCTCAGTGAAAATTCCCAGAGATTCTCGTTCCTCAAAACAAAAACTTACCCTCGCAGGGATCCTTTTTTGAATTTAACATATAATTTCTTTCAGGATCTTCGAAGAGACTTCAAGCAAAGCTTGGAAACCTTAAAAAGAACACACATGGTCAGGTGTCTCCATCCTCAGCCAGGCGTGGTTCTGCTGTGTCTACAGTTGTGTCAGTCACCCGCCGGAATTCTGGCGTATCGCTTACGCTGTCACGCAAGGATGACAAAATGAGCATGACAACAGTAAGTAAAGATGACAAAGGTGTCGCAAAAGGAGAAGAAAAAATCACTCTCCCAAAAGATTCGCAAGAGGAAAAGAAAAATCAAGGAACAAGCTCTGAGATTCAAGTGATTCCGATAACTTCACCAGACACACTGCAACCTCATAGCGAAGGTAAATTGTTACCGCAGCGATCACGCAACTCCAGGCGACTTCTACTTGGAAAACAGCTACCGAAATCCACTGGAAAGAAACGAGTTCCCTTAGATGCTATTTCTTGTATTAGTGACTACAGTGTTTTGAGTAACATCGAGTTTCAACCTCGGGTGACATCGCCAGGGAAACATGGTCAGCCGGGAGGGACCTCTCTGCTTACGTCCAAATCTCTCAAGGACTTCACAAACTCGCCTGAAGGTAGGGATTTTTTGGGGAAGTCTTTTTCGAAGCCCTGGTGTGGGTATGAAGCACCTAGATGAACCAATTTTGAAATCAAGCTGTTTTGAAAGAGGTTTTTCATCTCCTGTTGGTAATAAAATTAGAATTGGGATTATATTGGTGTAAGTAAAGGGGACGATCAAAGGTCTTCAGGGATGAGGTAATGGTCCCATAAAATCACGCCGAGGAAAGGGAGAGAGGTTCTTAGGTGTAGCCTTTGCCACTAGTCAGAAAATAACAGTTAACAATTATTCCACGAGCGCGCGTTGGATATGAGATGATAGATAGCCAACGAGGCGCTACGCGCCTCGTTGGCTATAATCATCTCATATCCAACAAGCGCGAGTGGAATAATTGTTTTATTAAAGAAAACGTCCAAGATATTAGACAAATCTTCTCGACTTTATTTTGTAAGAAGAAACCGGTTGTTACAATGTACAGATATTAGATTTTGGTATATTGGCTCATATACCATAATGGCTAAGCCAATAAAAAGTCCTGAATTGCATTATCCAATGATCCAGTTTTTAATAATAGCATGTACCATATTGCCTCCTAGAAATCGATCAAATTTTCTCCACTTTCTATCGTTACAGGAGCTCAACTCTCGATGCCTTTACCGCTGGTCAGAATTACGTCAGCATCTCATCTTGAAAAGTCGGACACCGACGGCTCAATCGGAGATCTGTCGCCATTATACTACAAACCGCGTCCTATGGCCCAGAGCCTGAAGAAGTCACCCATCAGGCCGGGAAGGAGAAAGGGCCTGGGACTCACTAAAGAAGAAGTACAGATAAAACCGGATGTAATTGTGAACTAACTTACGAACGTTCTTTTTATTTTTTTTTTTTTTTCTTTTCCTTTGAAGCTAGTGTGAAATAGATTTTTTTAAAAATTGAGGTTCACAGGGAACCCATCCCATCTGTGCTAAGTTTATGGTTAACTCTCAGAAATCGGTCAAAATTATTTGCAGATTGTTCATGTCAAATCACGTGTGCAATTAACGTCACACTGTTTGAATCTTTAACAAAAAAAGTCTTTATTTGTAGGGATGTTACTGTATAAAATGTACATTGTATGTAGAAGTTATTGTAGATATAAAGTATCTCAATTGCGCATGGTTACAATGAGGGACTCGTGCGTCAGCACAGGAAGAGTTGTGTAATGATTGAATAGCAACCAATCGGATTGGAAACATGATCAGTTCTTACATAGAACAGGAATGTTCGCGCCCAGATCCCACTCTGGCATAGTCATTAATGCAGTGAAATACTCCCTATTTAACAATTCCGATGAGTCTAATTTAAAGCAATATTATTTGAAAATTTTGAGCTGGAAATGACACAAAGAGTTTTCTTTGTCAGCTTTGATGACAACTTGTGGATGATGGCCACCCTTCGCGATTTGATCGTAGAAGTTGCGGTGTTCATGTTACTCAGTGGCTTTGATCTTGGGACTGACATCAGCGTGTTGTTGGAAGCACATCGAAGTCATAACGACTACACAAGGTTGTTTCAAAATTCTAACGATAGTGCACGCAATGAATCAAAACTTATTGGGTTTTGTTCCAGTGGTCCTTGGAAGACGGAAGACTTTCGAAGAAACCTCGGGTCTTTTAAGAGCACATTGATCGCAATGAAAGTCTTTACAGCGTTAGCGGGCCTGCTCTTCCTTTTATATCTGGTAACGCATGTATGGATCATTCATCTCGTAATTGAGGACCCCGATTTGGAAGAACATGAAATTAAAGGGTATATCACAGCAAAATTTGTCTTTGGTTTGGCTTGTAGCATGATTCAAGACCTCCCCTTGACCAGTCTCTCCGTTGACTTGTTCGTCAAACGCGCCGGACCTAAAGGTCTTATTTGTTGGGGATGTCATTTCGATGGAACTTGCGTGGATAAATATAGCCTTGAAAAACGTTTCGATCACACAACAACACTTCTCGCCATCAGCCTTACAGCTGTGGTGATCGTGAGCCTTTACAAAGGCTTTGTCATGTTCTATCGATGGAGCCGAGTCGACGAATGCCATTGTTACGAACTCCGTGCGTGCGTTTCGTTATTCGTTGGCGGTTGTTTCGCGCTCGTTATTTTGACACCATGCTTGGGGTTGTTCAAGTTCGCGTTTTTCACGCTTCCTTCAGAATCTGAAAATGTGTTCAGTGGGATAACTGATAGACTCTTCATGATTGGTATCATGATATGGGGTGTCTTTATCGTGGTGGCCTTTTGTTGTCCCCTGCTACGCTGTGTTCTACAAAAGTCGCGCAGAGCCTGACAAAGTGTTTTATCCTTCAGTTCTAAAGAATTTAAAAAGAGATAAAAATGTTCAAGCTGTTCATACCAAGGAGAGCAGGTTCATTTTTGTGGTGTCATCTATTTTATTTTGAAGATGAAAGATTAGTGGAGGTCGATTCATAGCTATAGAGCTAACCTTCAAGTGTGCAGTTTTCAGAATTATTTTGGTGGACTCGCAATGGGAGTCGGTTTACTTCTTTAAATTTCAGTCAACTACGGTGTTAATGTCCATCGCATTACAAACGTTGCAGAAAACAACTATCAGCCCTGAAATAGCTAATTAGAAATAAAAGTAAAGCAGAAGGAGCTAAAATGAAAATACCAGATGGATCTGCAATTGGGCCTTTTTTTAACCCTTATTCGGTAAACCCTTCAATTTACGAGTTGTATGTATTCACGATTTCAATCAAAACAGAGTTCTTGGGAATATTTTTAAAACACTCGTTACATCCCCTTTCAATCGGAGATTCTTTGTGAGACAAATCTCAGACAACGAAAGATGTTAGACTCTTTTCTTTCTTTTAGATCAATACCGTTAAAACTTACGCAAAATAGCCTAGGAAGGAAACTGAAGAAGGGTGAAGACAAATCAACATGTAGATTATTTTTGTTCGCTACCTAGGAGAGAGAAAACTGCATGAAACATTTACTGCATTAACACATTTTCGGCAATAAAGAAAATTTGCATGGCGAAGCTAAGAGTAAATTATTTCACGGATGATATCCTGCGCTTTTTTGAAAAATTTTAAAAGGTTTCATAGAAATCGATACTTGTTTTAAACTCTGCCATCAGCTATTTGCACAATGGCATGGTTATGATAACTGGCGAAGAATTATTGATTAAAATAATATAAACAAAATTTGGTACCATTTATATGTAAAAACATCGTATTTCGTCCAGCCATACCTTAAAATTTCTCGTTTCCAAGGTAACCGACTTCCCATTTGTGACAAAGTGTCAATCAGTCAGACAATAAAGGACAAAGGGGAAAGAAAAGGAAGACTGTGAACAAGAGAGCCTGAGTTCAAGAAAGACGAAATGTTCACAGTCGCTTGGTAATTATTTTCCTCACCTAAGCATCTGAAAAAATGTAAAGACGGGGAGATCAGCAAAGAACGCTTTTGATACCTTAAATGTTCCCTACCAGTCTGTTTCGCACCGGGCATGTTTAGAAGATATGATGGGCCAAACTTACCCCATTTATGCCTGAACTGGCACTAATCACGCGCGTCATCTCATCGGTTCACGGTTAGCCTGCAGTGCCGGCGTATTTTGGGCGCACGAGTGCACATTTTCGTATTAGGCCGCCATCTTAGATTTGGTAACTGTGGAGGATTGGGGCGAGGAAAATTTTGCCGAGGGAGTAGGTGTTAAGTGAAAAAATGAGCAACGGGGGAGAGGGAGGGGAAGGGAAAATGTAATTTTTCCTTCCTCTCCCTCTCCCCCGTTGCCCATTTTTCTACTTAACACCTACTCCCTCGGCAAATCTTTCCTCGCCCCAATCCTCCACAGTTACCAAATCTAAGATGGCGGCCTAATACGAAAATGTGCACTCGTGCGCCCAAAATACGCCGGCACTGCATGCTAGTCCACGGCATATTTTGCTGCAGCTGGAAGCAAGGATTTTTAAAGTAACACTTGGAAAAAACTTGATAAGTAGATAGTCGCGAGCGTATGGAACAACTTTATATACAAGTTGCGGTAAAACCACGCAATTATGGACGACATCGACTCAAAACGTTCCACGAGTCGTTGCTGTCAAGGTACGGGCTTGGTGCACGCTTTTAGTTCATCTTTTTTTTCCCTTCAAATAATTTTATTTTAATTTCCCCAATTTAAAGGGGATAATTTATACACCAAAAATATGCAATAAAAAATATAGGTCACCGTGCTCTTGCAAAAGTTTAAGACCATCCTACCTCTTTACCTGGTCCCTTGATTGTACTGAAAACAATACCGTATCAGTCAGAATGCGCGCGCTTAAGCGCTAATTCATCTGATTATGTGTTTGTATGCGCAGTAATGAACTCTCTTTATTTCACGCACATCATTTTGCCATCTCCACCCGCAAATAGCAAAAGCTAGACGAGGCGGGCGGAGAGGTAAGGTTACAGCAGTCATAACAGATAATATAATAATTGTAAAGTAACTAAATAAACAATCTGGATAAATAACAATTACTGAAAAACAAGCTAAGGTTACAAAATATCATCGTCTTACAGAATCATATTACAATCAAATTTACTCCTAACAGAACCTATCGATTATTAGTACATTGATTCAAGGATACAGAATTTTCCATTTTTTGGAGAAGAATGGGCGCTTCAACATAATCGTCCTCTGCTTCCATGATCGAGAGCAAAAAGTTATGAAAATTATTCTTAAAAGCTCCTTTGGAGAATTGACAAAATTCGTTAGGAATTGCGTTCCAAAGTTTAACTCCAAACCTGGAAAAAGAATCTTGATTTAGATTCAGTCTTGAAGTTTGAACATGATAATTTCCAGACGAAGAAAACCTGGTGTCATGCCTGTGCTTTGAATTAGCTTTAGTAAAGAAATCACAGATGTTAGACGGAGCATTCATGCAGGAAACGTCAAACATTATAGAAGATACTTTTTCAGCATATAAAATTTGTAAAGGTAGAATTTTGGGGGAAATAGATAAAGGCACAGCATGGACTCTAGGTTCAGGAAAGTACATCAAACGAAGAACTCGTTTTTGAACTGACGAGAATTTTTTGTAAATGGGTTTTGGCAGCTTGACCCCAAGCCGCCAAACCATATGTCAGATGAGGCAAGATCAGTGATTGATAGATATTTAAAAGGGTTGTACGTGGGACGAAGTGCCTAAGACGGGCAACAACACCAACAGTTCTCAACATTATTAATTTGCAATTTCCAACTTAAACTGCTGTCCAGTAGGACGCCAAGATATTTAACATGGTCTTTGCACTGAAGCGTGGTAGGAATTTGAGTACAGTTATCGATCATTTTGGTGTTAACAAAGTAGTTCAACTTATTTTGATATGGACGAAAGATAACATAGTTTGACTTTTTAGCATTGAGCGTTAACTCGTTAAGATTTAGATTTAGATTTATGATTTATTTAGATTTATTTAGCTTCGCCAACCGGCAGGGACACTACAACAGCTTGCGCCAATTACTGCGGGCCCAATAAACCCACCCATCCCACCCCAGGGGAGGACATCCATCACACAGTAATCTCGTGTGTGGGAAATTAACGTCTCCTACCCCAACCCTGTAGGAGACGGGACCTCCATTTATTCGTCCCTATCCGAGAAGACTAGAATATCTAACCATTTCTTTATGTTATAGAAAGGCAGCAAATTCTTCTCAATTATTTTAAGACCTTGAGTGTTGGTCCGGCCGGGGCTCGAACCCTCGACCTCCCGCACAACAGACCAGCGCTCTATGCACNGTCAGCATATCAGGCGCCTCTGGCAGCCACTTCAGTCTATCGGTCTCACCTTTCCACCCATCCCACCCCAGGGGAGGACATCCATCACACAGTAATCTCGTGT